ACAGCACTAAGAACAGGGTGTTCTGCCAATAAGCGGATGCTGTTGAGCATTCAGCCTTGTGAAGATGCAGCACAATGCCTTCCAACTGCTGGGTCCCCACCTCTCATTATCCTGTAAGTCACAGCCTACCAGAAACACCCTTGCAAGGATCCTGTGGCTTTTGTGGGAGTATTTGGGAAACATGGGTCGGAAACCAGAAGTTGGCATCCAAGAGGATGATTTCAGGGCTATTCTTTTCCACCAATTCAGGTTTAATCCACAGAAGGACAGGAGTTGCAGGCTGTCAGCATCTAGCCTTCTTTTTGAACAAGAGAATTCCTCTCATGGGTGGAAATTGGTGCCATGAAGTTTCTCACTGCACCATTAAGGATCTTACTGAGGCCGCAGCACAACCAGAGGCATCTTCAGAAGACAGACTTTTGGATGCTCTGTCCTAACAGGAGCTACTCCCTATCTGCCAGGCTCCTTGTTCTCGTTGTTCCTTATTCTGTGATTCTCCTTTCACTGCTTCAGAGCAAATGAGGCCTGAAAGATAAACCACCTAAATCTTTGAGATGTCTCCTAAAGGTGGACACACACAGTCCCCTGTCAAAACACCAAGGTTTAAATGCCTAAATTGGATGGATCTCAGAGGGAAATCGGGCACCTGAGTAGTAGAGAAGTACTAAACGCTCATGTTCTTGTTGAGCATGTTCCAGCCAAGCAGGACATGGTAGATGGTCACCAAGGCACTGAAACAGCATCAGCAAGCACCACACCGGTGTCTTCTTTCTGCCTGCCAGGCTGTGGGGTGGCTCTGCAGGCAGGGAGGGTGCTGCTGTCCCATTGCTCCTCTTTCCTTTCCTCCTGGAGAAATCCACTGAGCAACACCCCTGGTGAGCTGCAGGAAGAGCTGTGAAGGTCAGGCACATCTCACAGCACACCAGAGCTGAAGCAGCAGGTCAGGCAGCTGGTGCTGGTCAGTGAAGGGCTGTGCATTGCCAAGTGAAGGACATATCCTTCCCCCAAAACAGAGCAATAAACCAAGGACAAAGGTATCACCCAGCCCCAGGGGCCTCAGGGAAGCAGGAACACACTTGCTGAACCACAGACAGAGCCAGAATGCCCAGGACCCCTAAGAGCACAGGCCAACCAGGGTGATGGTCATGTCATACCCTGGTTTAAGCTCCCAGAGGAAGGTGCACACTGAGAACTAGTACCTACCATGCAGTCATGCACTTCTCTACAGCGGAAGGCCAGGAAGACACATCTAACTGCTTCCACCACACACTGCCCCAGCAGCCAACCTTTGCTGTCATAGCAAGAATAATCTGGTGAGGCTCCAGGTATTCCAGCAGTAAGGAGTAATTCTGTCCATCTGCACGGAACCATCACTCCACAGACCAGGCAGAGCTGCATTCCTGGAGGAGCACTGAGGGAGCCAGCACCAGCACCTGGTTCATGCATCCCTGCAGAGCAGCTCCAGCCACAGACCTGAGCTGCTCCAGAGCCAGAGCACAGGGACCATGGGGTGAAGTTCAGGACAACCCAAGCTTTGTGTTCCCCCCACAAAGACAGGCCAGACGTGGAGATGTGCCTTCTCAAACCCAGCCACTTCCGTTCAGCACAGGAATCAAACTGATCTGGGCAGAACATACAAAAAACCTGGAGAGGGGCTTTGGACAAGGACATGTAGGGACAGGACAAGGGGAATGGCTTTAACCTGACAGAGGGGAGATTGAGATGAGATCTGAGGACGAAGATCTTCCCTGGGAGGGTGCTGAGGCACTGGCACAGGGTGCGCAGAGAAGCTGTGGCTGCCCCATCCCTGGCAGTGTTCAAGGCCAGGTTGGACACAGGGGCTTGGAGCAACCTGCTCTAGTGGAAGGTGTCCCTGCCCGTGGCAGGGGCTTGGAACTTGAGGAGCTTTAAGGTCCCTTCCAGCCCAAAGTATTCTATGATTCTATGTGTCCCACACACAGCTCTGGCCTCTGCTCTGTGGAGGTTCACACATCCCACAGGTGTGTGTGTGGTTTCTGGCACCGAGATGAAATCATTCTCACCCCAAAGGATGGAAACAGATCACTCTGTTCACTACTAAAAGGATGTTTCCTGGAAAGTGTCCCTTACGTTTCTCCCACTCTCAGATGCCCACATTTCCCACCCTCAGCCCAAGCAGCCACCAGCACAAGTAATGGGCAGTTTGTGCTCTGGACTCGATTCCCTTATGGATTTAAACAACCTGGGAAAAATCCCCAGCATGTATCTCAGTGTACAGACAGCCCTTTCCATCAAGTAGTAAACCACACAGCCTGGATTAAAAGGAGTTCATGCTGCAAGAGTGGTCAGCATGTGGCTAAGGGAAACCTTTAGTTACCAAGAGAACCCTCCCCACAAACCTTTGAGTCTGAGCAGAGCGTGGGGCCTGAGTAAGTTCACTGTGAAAGGTTTGCCAGCAGCGTGGGATGTTATTGTGTGTCAGTTACCATGACAGTTTAAATGAAACTTTGCAAGAAAAACATGATTGTTATACCCAGATCCTGCTTCCAACACGTCTGATGCCTGAACTGCTGTGAGCTGCCAAAGGCAACACTGACCTGGGGAGCTGGAGTGCAGAGGAGGTGCATGGAAGTGGTGTGGGCTAGAGGACAGTGCCCCTGCCCATCCACAAACCTAACCCACCTCCCTATTGCCCACAAGATACAGACAGGTCCCTGCATAAAGGGAGAAATAAAGCACCAAGGTGATGAAAAGAAGTGACACTCACTTTCCACATGCAGCATCTGAGAGCTCAAGAGGAAGAAAACCATGCCAAGAGGGAGACAGCAGCTTTGGGGAGGGATTCCATCCCTACTTACCCAGCATCTGGTTTTTGTTTTGGACACAGCTTTGGGAAATGGAGAAGCCTCCCAAGCAGGATTTGGCACTGGGAGTGCTCAAGTCCCAGGAAACAGGGAATGATGGGGAAAAAAAATCATATCCAGAAACATGATGGAGAAGGAAGTGACAGGGCATGGTCAGCACAGAGGGGGAATCCCAAGGGTTAACTGTGCTGGACAAACCAAATAACCTGCTCTGAAGAGATGCTTGGCTTGGTGGATGGGGGGAGCACAGTGTGTAGCTTACCTTGACTTTCAGGGGCTTTTGACACAACTGTCTGAGGGAAAAACACAGCCACATCACCTTGAGACAGTTCAGGTGGCTGCAAGGAAGCAGGGAGGACACACAGGGATCTGTGATTTACAGCACAAAGCCCAGCTGTAGCTACTCACAGCATTCCTCAGGGAGCATCAATGGAGCTCATATCCTTCAATGCCTCTATTTAGAGCCTGAAGACAGAACACACCTTCAGCAAAGGACACCAGGTTGTGGGCATGTCTGACACATGGGGCAGGGCTGTTCAAAGGGACCACCCTTCTCAACAGGCTGGAGAAATGGCCCAACAGAAATCTTGTGAAACTCAAAGGTAAATACAAAGTCCTCCTCATGAGCACCCTCACTTCGGCTGGTCCTGCTCCGAGTCAGGACCACACATCCTTCCTACCTGAAATACTCTGCCATTCAGAGAAAGCCATGCAGACAGCTTCCTGCTTACAGGGGACTGGCCAGACTTTTTCAGGCACATTGTACCTGTTGAAAACAGTGTAAAGTGCACTGTAAACTCACACAACCCATTCTCCTCCCATGTCCATCTTCCTGCACACTCTACCCAAGGCTGTGGTAAAAGCAGAACAGGAATTAACTGTAGCAGTACAGACAGCAACACAAACAAGCCATGAAGAACAGGCTATTTTTCAGTCAGAATTTCACCCCACCTGCACTCAAACCCTTTTGTCACTGGAGAATGTGCTAGCGTCTTGGTTTTATCTTCTCCCGCTGGCTCTAGGACTCATTTCAAGCTACTCCTTTGGAGAAAAGGAAAGAGAATGATTCAATTTCTGGCCTTCTTTGCAAGAACCTTGTTGAGAAGATGGCTGTTGACTGCTTCTTGGTCTTGTGACAGTGGTGGGCAACTGTGACTAATGCAGCATGTCCTACCATGCACCAGAAGAGCTAGAACCTCAAACAGGGAATGGTATCAGTGGAGCTTTTCTCCTCTGACATTTCCTTCTGTTGATCATCTTCTCCAAAGAGCCAGAGAGCAAACTAACAAATGAAGTGCATTTAGGGCCACGGAGCTGCTGCGAGGGCTGGAGCAGCTCTGCTCTGGAGCCAGGCTGAGAGAGCTGGGCTGGGGCAGCTGGAGAAGAGAAGGCTCCTGAAGGGGAGACCTTACAGTAGCTCCAGTGCCTAAAGGGGCTCTAAGAAACCTGTCTATGGCAAAACAGCCTTATTTGCTGAACATAATGTTTGGCTCAAGTGCTGCCTGTTTTTCTCGTTGCCAACCATTTATAAACCTGACTCAGGCTCACAGACTCATTATCCAGAAGTAGGTAGGGAAGGGAGTTGGAATAGATGATGTATTCGTTATCCAGAAGTAGCTACCAGATACATTTGCACATTGCAAACGTGCATGATTTCAGCCTTCTAATACCTAAAGGGGCTACAAGAAAGCTGGAGAGTGGCTTTGGACAAGGGATGGAGGGACAGGACAAGGACAATGGCTTTAACCTGCCAGAGGGGAGATTAAGATGAGCTCTGAGGCAGAAGCTCTTCCCTGTGAGGGTGCGGAGGCGCTGGCACAGGGTGCCCAGAGAAGCTGTGGCTGCCCCCTCCCTCGCAGTGTTCAAGGCCAGGTTGGACAAAAGGGCTTGGGGCCAACCTCTCTAGTGGAAGGTGTCCCTGCCCGAGGCAGGGGGTTGGGACTGGAGGAGTTTTAAGGTCCCTTCCAACACAGACCAGTCTGTGATTCTATGAAGAAAGCTATGGTTAGCCCTCAGGAGTTCACACTACCTGCTCAACCATAATGGAGTTAAACACTCATTGATCAGTTCTTAAAGGAGAATTTAAAAATACAAGATGCCAAGCTTAAAAATATGCCTTTTTTTTGGGAAATAAAAAAAACCCCAAAACTAAACCCCAAAGTCAGATTTTAAAGTGGATCTACAAGACGACACTCAGCTATCTTTAAGAAAAGTAAACCTTTGCAATGCACTGCATACAGTTTTCTAACCAGCAAGAGCCAGTGGGGTGGGTAATCTGCAGTGTTTCCTGGAAGAGCTCGAATGGCTTTTGGTTTGGTTTTCACCCTGTAGGCAGAGACACTTGAAAGGCAGCACAGTGCCTTCACGCTGCAGAGCACACGATAGTTCCTCTCTTGTGTCACTCAGGCAGAGCTCAGCGTGAGGCTGGTGTGGGCACAGTGGGCAGAGGCAGCTCCATGGAGGGGGTCTCAGTCACTTCGGCTGGACTCGGCTTCCGAAGCTCCAGCTTCTCAGTGAGTAGGTTGTAAAGCTCCTTCACAGCTTCCCCACTCTGCAGAATGAGAATTAGGGGGGAACAAACAGAAGAGTTATGCTTCATTTTTGTCAGGGACTGTAGCAATAGGACAAGGGATGATGGGTTCAAACTGAAACGGGGGAAGTTCAGGTTAGATGTAAGGCAGACGCTCGGTGCTGAGGCGCTGGCACAGGGTGCCCAGAGAAGCTGTGGCTGCCCCATCCCTTGCTCAAGGCCAGATTGGACTTGGTCTAGTGCGAGGTGTCCCTGCTCATAGCAGGGGGTTGGAACTGGATGATCTTAAGGTCCTTTCCAACCCTAACTATCCTATGATTCTATGTCACTACTAACTAGAACACTAAGCATGCAATTACCCTATGTTTTAACACAAAGCAACAGAGAAAGAGGAAGTTCCAAGCTGATTAAGACATAACTTGGTACACTTGGAAAGCAGCATCTGGAAAGGCAGCTGCTTTCATTTGATATTAATTTTCCCTTTCTCCTGCTTCCTTTCTTACCTGCTTGGTGGGCTCCAAAGCCTTCTGGAGAGACTCCAATTTCGCAGGTGCCACTTTGTGATGCAGATGAAGCAGCAGCCTTAGCACATGTCTGTGTACATTCTCCTTTCTGCAAAAAGCAATTTAAAGCAGAGGAGCTGATATCAACAAACACCATCTTGAGAACAAGAAGGCTACAGCAACAGCACCAGAATAATTCAGACCCCCACAGACTGTTGCAATTTTCCCAGACACCTGAGAATTGTTGCCTGTGTGCTACCAAGTACTAACCCTGCCTTAGACTTTCCAGGAATTCAGATAATTCTTCAAAAGGAGTGGACTAAGTGGAGCACCCATGAGGAAGGAGGGGGAGGTTTTAAGCATAGCACATGGCAGCAGCTGGTCTCTCTGCTGGACAAGCCACACTGTGCATGCAGGAGGATGTTTGTGTCTCAGTGTGTGTGGAGGAGGTGGCAGCAGCACCAGCATGTGGTCACTTTGGGAAAGCCTCCTGGGGGTTGGATCTGGGCTGTAGGCCCAGCTGAAGCACACTGAATTAACAGATACAAACAGATTCTCTGTGTGCAAAGACCTGAAGTTAGCTCTTCATATTCAGAGCTACTGCAAAGCAGGAAGGATACTGTCTTTTGCAACTCCAACTTAGAAATAATTAATTACAGTTTAGGTAATAATTCATAATCAACACTTCACAATTTTGCTGATAAAAACTTGATCACAAAATACAAGCCTTTTCTTAAAGAAGAACAGCATCAGGGTAACATTTCCACTCTATGTGAAGAGTTTGCTGAACTAAAGTTATAGTTCAAAGCAGTACAACCTCTCTCAGGTATCCTTCAAACTCACTTTCCTCACTTCCCCCTGAGGAAAATCCAAATTACCTTGAGCAGGCACTGAGAAAGAAGTTGTCAAAGAGACTGGTGCAGAATTCCTCAAGTGCAAATTCCTCACCCAGCAGCGTCAGGTTTCCAGTAAGCAGATGCAGAAAGATATCACCGAAGGCCAAGTCACTGAATGTCTCAACTATACAACATGAAAAGGAAGGAGACTGAGACTCATGTGCCAAAACCTGACTATAGAGCAGATATTCCTGAAAAAAAAGTGAGATTCCCTTTTCAAACACGTAGCCCAGGCAGATGGCTTTGACCTTTCAGACGTAAAAGATTAGGAGCAGAGAGGTGAGAAGACATAGAAAGCCCATGTCTTCACCAGGGCTGAAGTCTTGCTCCTGCCAATATCACAAAGTCCCCTGCTACCCTTCGCCAGCATCCTCTGCTCAGGGCTACATCCACCTCTCTGCACTCCTTAGACCCTGCAGGGAGCAGATGCATGTCACTTACTCGTGGAAAACTCACCCATGCATATGAGCTGACAGTGCAGCAAAGGGTTCAGAGAACACCAGAGCCAGGGTGAGGGGTGGGAAATGATCCCTCACTGCCACTACTGGGAGCTGCAGTTCCTAAAATTGTCTCAGAGCTCTTGTGCAACTCACCCCAGAGAAGTCAGTAAAGGTAATGCCAGGGAAAAAAAAAACAAAGGCTGTGTTCAGTCCTGTTTGTGACAGGCTTTTTCACCATACCAAGCCAAGTCGCAGGATTCTGGCCACCTGGAATTACTATGAGCAGCAGTGGAATTAAGCCTCCTGCTCTTTTACCTTTCAGATTTATTCCAGGCAGTTCTCAACTCATCTCATTGTTAATACAACCTTTGATCTAAGGAACCACTGACCATCAGCCACTGCCCCTAAATTCTCAGATCAGCAGAGACATATCCTAAATGCAGACAAAAAAAAGACCAACCACTTCTGCAGGGCCTTACAACTAAGTCACCAGAAGAGCCAAAGGCAGAACATCATGTCTTTGATGCTGAAATCACTTTCACTCCAGGTTTGCTTGCCTCCTGGGTGTCCAGTACCAGGCAAACAGCTACAGAAGATGAGACAAAAAAACTTACCTAGTGCTGGCAGGAGCCTGAGGAAAGCATTCTTGTTCCTCTGTTTAGTGATGTGAAGGATGTAATACAGCCCAATCTCACAAGCTATTCTGTTCTCCTGCAAGAATCTGTTATGGCAGAAGCAAAGTTTCTTAATGAATAAAGCTAAAACAGATTATATATTCTTTTAAGAGAGTTTAAAATACCACACCAAGCAGTTACAGCAGTAGCTAACCTCAAACCCGCTGAAGAGCAGCTACTCAGTGACTGAGTAGATGATGATCATTGTGTTCACTACCATGGTCCAGAAAAATTTACCATTCAACAAACGTTGTGCTGTCTAGCCCTCAAACAGTTGGATTTGTCAGCATTTAGACTAGCATTTATGATCAAAGTGCTCTTCAAACTGGGTTTTAGATGAAGACAAAAAAAAAAATATATATATATAAATTATATAAAGCTCAATATTGTTTTGCTAGTTTCCCAAAGGTCAACAGTCACAGAGTAGAATACAACCCTGAGGATATAACTCCAGATTGTGGCACGCAGTTAAGAGCTGTGCTGGAAATTAGTGCAAGATCTGAATACAAGAGAGCACACAAAGGTTTTCCTTCTCTTTTTGAGGCCCCTGGAGAGACAGGTTATCACAGAGAATGAGTGTGTGACAAAAATGCCAACTTCACAATTTACAACAGCCCTCTTCAGAACCAAGCACAGACACTCATCCAGCTGCAACCAAGTATCACCCACTCCGTGTTCATTTCTTGGGAAGCTACACAAGCAGTGTATTTGGAAGCAGTAACACCAAACAATTCCATATTCAACCTGCCAAAAGAATGGTTATTACAAGAAATATTACTTTGTGTAGATTTTATTTGAGGAATCATAGTGGAAACCTGTTCTGCTAAAGGAAAAGTTCAGGTTTGATTAACTGGCACTAAATCTTACCTCCCAGGAAGTCTTCACTTTACCACACAGAGTATCTTCCCCTGTCTGTGTTAGCTGGCTCTTGCTGCTTTGCTTTGGTAACAACACTCTACGTAACAACACAAAGTCAGTAAGGCAGGTTACGTACTTGGTGAAAGCTTCAGGGATGGTGCTGGGGTAGGGAATTGGTCCCTTCTCCTCTGAGGGCAGCTTCTGATCTACGTTGAACGTGTGGTCATCCACCACAAAGGACATCAGCATAGGCAAGAACCTGGTGATCAACTCAACTTCCTTGGAGGGATGGAAGAACAGAGGGAAAAGAACAATGCTTTCATCAGTCACCTCATGCCACCTAATGGTCTCACAGTGCTGTTACAGATAGCGAGGCACCAGTATGAGCCCCATCCTACACTTGGGAAAACAAGCTTCCATTATCCAGTTCCAGTCACAATACTTGAGCCAGTCACCTCCATGTGTTCCACTGGTAATTCAGAAAACTACTTCTCCTCATCTCCAGAAACACTCCTGCTCAAATCCTTTCTCTTGACAATCACTTAGCATTTCTTCTGTGAGACCTTTCCCAACGCTGCTGCAAGCTCTGCATGCTAAGGATGATACCAACTGCTTTTATCAACAATAACAAATCATTTTGTCCATTCCCTAAGCTGACAGGGATCACTGTCAGAAGAGCAACAACAAAGAGCAGCTCCTCACACAAGGCAGATTAGCCTGTGTTGTATGGTATTCACAGACTGTGAAATTACAGCTTGTGACAATAAAACAGATTTTAAATACAGATTTAGAGATTCCCTTCAGGAAAAACTTCTCAGTTTCTTTCTAAGAGATCCATGAGAGCACCTCTGCAAGTCAAATCACAGTCATGCTCACTGTTAAAATCTCAGTATGAATGCACACCCTGTGGTAAATTTAAATGTGCGATCAACCTGTAATATGTATTTTGGAGACTTCAAATGCTCCCCTAGGTAGATATTTACTGCTTTATAGTTCAGAACAGAAGGAGCAAATTTCTCTTGAGAAACAGCCCTGCTGTGCAGCTTCCCACCATCAGCAGAATATACCAGCTCCTGATCTACACTAGGCCTGCCCTTCGGAAAAGTATTTCCAAATGTCGTGGTTCAAGCCCAGCCGGCA